CCTTCTTCCTCCTGCCAGTGACCCCTCCAGTGATATAAAGATCTATATAGAGGAATCGGGACCTCCTTCCTCCTGCCGGTGATCCCTCTAGTGATATAAAGATCTATATAGAGGAATCAGGACCTCCTTCCTCCTGCCGGTGATCCCTCTAGTGATATAAAGATCTATATAGAGGAATCAGGACCTCCTTCCTCCTGCCGGTGACCCCTCTAGTGATATAAAGATCTATATAGAGGAATCAGGACCTCCTTCCTCCTGCCGGTGATCCCTCTAGTGATATAAAGATCTATATAGAGAAATCAGGACCTCCTTCCTTCTGCTGGTGACCCCTCTAGTGATATGAAGACCTATATACAGGAATCAGGATCTCCTTCCTCTTACTGGTGATCTCTCTAGTGATACAAAGATCTACAGTATATAGAGGATTCAGGACAGTGTCAGAACTACCAGGGTCACCAAGGTCGCACTTGCAAGCAGGTCCTGGCTTTCCGCCACCGTGGGGGTTCCTAATGTCCTCTGGCTGTCCTGCCCCTGCTATTGACAGCACCAGTCCAGAGTTTCTGTCTCTATGGCTGTGGCAGCAGGTCATTAGGAACCAGTGGCTCCTAATGACATGGGCGCGAAGTTTGCTCTGAGTCTTGCCAACTTATTTATGGCAAGATGGGAGGAGGATCTCATTTACTCCAGAGAGTGGCCACAACTATTGTTTTATCATCGGTACATCGACGATATCTTGCTCCTATGGGAAGGGGATGAATTTACCTTGAACAACTTTTTCACCACACTGAACTTTAATGATATAAATATTAAACTCACCTTTCAATATAGCAATCAGGAAATTAACTTTCTTGACCTGACATTATACATTGAGGGCCCTAAAATTCTATCTAGGAGTTATTTTAAATCATCAGACCCTTTTATCACTGACTTTTCCACACAATTTAGGGATGTAGCTAGTATTATCAGGAAGAACTGGAAAATTCTTAAAAATGATCCGGTGTTGGGGAGCCATTTACCGGAAGCCCCCGAAATCACTTTCCGTAGGGCACCACCTCTGAGAAACACCTTGGCCCCTAACATTGTTAACCCACCTAAACAACTTTCTTTCTTCTTCGACCGTAAAGGTTTTTTCCCCTGTAATAGATGTATGCTATGCACTAATAATGGAATTCATAAATATCCGGTAACCACATTTAGTTCCAACACAACTGGTAAAACATACGAAATTCAGTCTACCATCACGTGCAATAGTACCCATGTTGTATACCTGCTGGAGTGTACATGCGGGAAGCAATATGTGGGACGGACTATTAGGAGACTTCGTGATAGATTGAAGGAGCACCTGAAGAATATTAACAAGGGGTTCAAGGAACACTCACTGTCCTTGCACTTCCGTCAAGCACACAACAAGAACCCACATGGCCTGAGGTTTATAGGAATTGACACAATACATAGACACTGGAGAGGAGTACACAAATTAAGAGCTGTTTCGAAACTTGAAACCAAATGGATTTTTTTATTAAGAACACTTGCCCCACATGGGTTAAATATTGATATAGATATTAATTGCTTTTTGGATACCAGCTAAAACTATTTGGGTTGCCCTTGCCTCATCCTAATAATTATCCAGTATGTACGTTTTATTAGCATTGTCTTTTATTTATGTATCATTTTGTTTTCTGTGGGAACTAAGGTCCATAAATACCATCATCTTACCTTGGGGGGCTTCTTTTCCCCCTCTTCTCCTTTTTTTCTAGTAATTAGCTGGAGTAGTAGTAACTTAGTTCTTAACAACGTTTATTTACCTTTCACCGGTGATTCTCCTAAATATTGAATTTACTATTTTACACACACAACTTTTGTTGTGTATATGTTGTACATGGTTAGGTATCGTTAACACCCCTTAATGATTCATGATGCCATTAGTTTACCTTATCTTCCCTGGGAATATCCTAGGGGTTATTTTGATACTGGTATTTTTTTCTATTTTTTTTTTTTTTTTTTTATTTTTTATTTTTTATGACCATTAATGTAATGTTTATGATCATTACCATGATTATTTATATTTGTATGAGCATTGCCGCATTTAAATGACCATTTACATTTTGCATTTTGCACATTATATTGCTTTGTTTTATCGTTTTTAAATTGCTGTCGGCTTTAATTTGTCCTTTTATGGTACTTCTGTTGTTTTAAACAGTTCTGTTTGTAAAGTTTTACTGATGGCCTCTGGCAGTTATGCATGAACATAGGGGGCTGGTACTTGTAGTTCTACAACACCATTTTTTACAAATAATACCTTGAGTGGTTTACGTCCCTGCTTATTTATTTATTATATCTCTGGATCACCCCTCTTTAATGATTGCTTTAATGTCGAGACCGTCCAGCACAGCGGGATTTGTAAGGAGGGTTTTCTTCTATCCAAATCCCCTCTCTCTGGGCTGGGATCGTTTTCTCTGTCTTTGTATATCCTGGACTTCAGCAAAATGGCCACCGGATGCGATCTGCGCATGCGCGGGTTAACCGCGATGACGCGGTAGGCTTGCATTGCGCATGCGCGGGCATCTTGGCCTTCGCGCATGCGCAGTAGCGCTAAAATGACGCGAAAATGCGTCTTTTGAACAATTAGAGGTCCCGCTATAAATAAGGGACCTGGGTTGAGAGGCACATTCCCTTTGATAATGTGCCATTGCCACGAAACGCGTTAGAGATCAGGACACCTCTCATACCACATATTGTCCACTGGTTCATGCATCTGACTGTCGGCCATCTTTTTGGATTCTGTGAATCAGCTTTTTTGGACATTACCATGTAAGTGTACTACTTGCTTTTACCCTTTGAATAAAAATACTACACTATCAAGATTTCTTTCTTCTGGGTCTTTTTGCCGAGCCCCTGAGATGATCTCCTGATATGAAAGCACACTAATCCTGGCGATAGAGGATATAAAGCTATTTCGTGATACTGGAAAGAGGCGCACTCCCCCTGGTGGCAGGAGAAGGCAAGAGTGGTGCACTGGTGTTCCCGAGGGCTTTACGCTGAGGACCATCTGGCTGTGACCAGGAGTAGGTCATTATACTCCAACGCGCATTTATTTGCGCTATCTGGTTAGTGCATTTTACAGCTATTCTCCTATCACGGAATTCACGGATTTGCTTGTCACTTGGGTATACCCCCAGAACCTATGACTCTAACAACCTTATAACTAAAGGCACTTTGATTAGTGGAATGAATCTCTATTATTTACCTGACCATTGTTTACATTAATTTATGAACGTTGGATCTGGTGCATGTTATAAAATGAATGTCATTTCTTTCAATTCTGCAATTTATATGGTATTTCCCTTTATCATATACTCAAGCGCTGCAACTTGTTGCTGTATTTGACTTTTTATGAAGAGGGTATACGAGGTTTACCTTTATGCTAGCAGCTTGATTCTGTTAGATCCAGCGCTCGTTCCTTTCCCCATACACTTATACAGTGGCAGTTACGTTATGGAGCTGATGGGAGCATGCGAGGGGGGCCGGCACTATTGGTTGTAGACAGTCAAGCCCCCTGCCAGTCGCTTATCAGCAGTGACACTGCATAGCCTTCTCTGCTGATGGATAGAATCCCATTTGGCATCTCAACAGAGAAGGCTATGCAGCTTCGCTTCTGCTGTCTACAACCAATAATGCCAGCTCTCCCACGAATGCGCCCATCAGCCCCATAATGTAACCAGCACTGGGTCCTAATGCAATGCTGGCACTCTCGTTAAGACAGGAACACAGGACCAGCACTGTCAATAGCTGAGGCAGGACACCAAGAGAAGAATGGGAACCCCCACAGTGGTGGAGCAACAGAGCCTGATCGCAAGTGCGACCTTTGTGACCTTGGTAGTTCTGCCACTGCAATGGACCCTTATATGGAATTCCTTGATGTGCTGGTGACATAACTCTTGTTTTCTGCCACCATGGGGGGAGGGGCCACATTGGCAGGAAGGGGGCCTGTTGTGGGTCATGTGAAAGGGTCCCACTGTGGGACAGTAATAAAGGGCCCCGCAGCAGGAGTAAAGGGCCCTGGAATCAATAAGAAGGGCTCAGAGGGAAGGGGCCCAGGACCAGAGGAAAAGGGAAGGGGGATGTCAGGGAGGCCATTCATGGTTCCTTGCACCAGGGCCTTGAAGGTTCCAGTTATGCCTCTAATTCAGGATCTCCTTGTAAGAAATTGTATACAAGCCAGTGGGTGGAACAAGCCAGCCTTTTAGTTACACAAAGCCACAGATTTTCAATGTGCACCATTACAACCTTCTAGCCGCCGGCATCCTGACAACCAATGACATCAGTTGATAAGGAGGATGTCAGCTGCCTGCACAGCATCCTAGTTTGACCCTCCCCTGCCCCTCTCCATCAACGCTGGGGTCACATTAACTCAGTGATGGAGAAAAACTGAGGGAGAAGAGAAACATTGGAATACTAGTCAGTACCAGTGTGCAAAAGTGTAATTGCTTTGGAAGGATAAATCACCTCTAATGTTGGGTGTCCTACATGTGTGGATGTTGCTGCATTATATAGAACTATTAGAATAGTTTTTTACATTTTAGAATGGGGTGCCTGAAGACTGTCCACAATTTTAAAGGGTACCTTGAAATTGTCCATCATTTTAAAGGGTGCCTTGACTGAAAAAAGGTTGAGAAACACCTCCCAAGAGATAAAGCTTAAGCTCAACTCCAGCCAAAACTTTGCATGGAGTGGTATAGGATTGGATCCTCTGTTGGAATTGTATTGCCAGGGCTGGTGTTAGAAACCACAGGGCCCTATACAGCCAACCTGACAACTCCCCCCAAGAAAAAAACACTATGCTTCAGTTATGAACACAGTGAGTAATTGGTACTGATCACTCATTGTATTCATTCTTGAAAGGAAGGGACTGGTAAATGTGACATATTTACTGGACGCTTTTCCCACCTCTCTATCCTGTTGTGCTTGCAACTGCCAGTGGGAAGGAGAGGATGGCACTTGACAGCACAGGGATGGGGGCACACAGCGGTGCCTGGGCAGAAAGAGGAAACGTATGGTGCACATGGAGGGTGATGGGTGTGGTGGTGGGGAGGGGGGGTGCAATTCTTGGAACTGATCCCCTGTATGACACTTTCTGCAGAGAATCGGTTCCAGTAATTGCTATGCCGATCACCCTCCCTGTCCACATCCAATTCACCCAGCTGCCTGGGCCCCCCTTCTAGCCTGGGCCCCATTCAGGAAGACTAGTTCTACCCCCTTATCCACAGCCCTGTGTATTGCTGTATTCTCACTGGGCAGATTTTATTTCTTGTCTCACGGAGGGAGGTGTCACTGCCTTACCCACTTTTAGCAAAGTTGGCCCAGTATTTCATCACGGTCTTGCTGAGTTTCTTTTCTTCCTCTGTATATTCATCTGGAAAATATAACAGTACAATTTAATCATTCCAGTTTTTTTTTTGTCAAAGCTTAATTGAACAAGCTGAAGTTAGAAGCTGATTGGCTACCATGCACAGCTGCCCCAGATTTTGCACTCTCTAATTTTAGGAAATCAACCCCAAAGTATCTTCTGCAAAAAAATCATCTTCCTCATTCCTCTGACAATGTTCTATCTCCTGTGTACATTGTCCGGCATAAGTTACATAGTAATGCCCCATACACACGATAAGGAAATTGTACGAAAAAATTTAGCGGAACCACTGATCAAACGGTTTTCTCTTCATTGACCAGCAGGATATTTTAACGATAACGATATTATGAACAAAAGAAGTCTGGTTGAACAACAGTGAAAAAGTTTGTCAAGGTAAGTATTATAATCACAATGAACATAAAAACACAAAAATATCACACCTTACGAAAAAAAATCTATCAAGCGCTATCACGCATGAGCGAAAACAGAAGATGACCCGAATGTTTATGTCCAAGGAATCTTCGTAAACACGAACGAAAAATCCAAATGTTAAAAGTAGATTGGCCGAATGAGACAATGAAACCAGAATTCTGCAGATTATATTTTATGTATCACTATTTATGTATATACCGTATTTTTCGCTCCATAAGACGCACTTTTTTCCCCCAAAAAAAGGGGGGAAAATGTTAGTGCGTCTTATGGAGCGAATATGGAGCGGCCGGTCCGGTATTTCCACCGTCGCCGTGTCCAGAATACCGGGCCGGCCGCTCAGCTCTGCAGCGGGACCTTTTGGAGATGACTGCTGACCTTTGGGGAGGTGGGGAGCGGGTACCTGAATTTGACAGGTACTCGCTCTTACTTCCGCGGAGTTGTTCTTTGACCTTACCTGTTCCTCTATCCAGCCGCGCGCTGTCTTCCCGGCTTCTGTAGTGTGGGCGTTGGGCTTGACAGCCGGGTGCCAAGTGCGCATGCGCAAGAAGCGATGCTTTTTGTGGATGGTAAGGCGGTACCTGGGACACATGACAGATCCCAGAAGCCGCCAGACCAATCACAAAGTGCAAGTGCTTCTCGATCATGCACACTGAGCACCCGGCTGTCATGCCGAGTGCCGACAGTACAGAAGCCGGGAAGACAGCACGCGGCTGGATAGAGGAACAGGTAAGGTCAAAGAACAACTACGTGGAAGTAAGAGTGGGTACCTGTCAAATTCAGGTACCCGCTCCCCCCCCCCCCAAAGGTCAGCAGTGTCATGGTCTCCCTGTACTGTCCGCAGTCTCTGGTCATCCCTGTGCTGTCCGCAGTCTCTGGTCATCCCTGTGCTGTCCGCAGTCTCTGGTCATCCCTGTACTGTCCGCAGTCTCTGGTCATCTCCTGTACTGTGTCTGCAGTCCATTAGTTCAGAATTTTTTTTTTTCCTGTTTTCTGCCTCTAAAACCTAGGTGCGTCTTATGGAGCGAAAAATACAGTAGGTCATGTAACAAACTAGATTATACTCATTGCTGTTAATTGTTGTGTATATCGCTCGTTCTGGCCGGAAGGGCGTGGCTACAAGGTCACACGCACACCGCATCACTTCCACTTGTACGGAAGATGTCAACACTACTTATTGCCTGACGAACAATTTTTTTAGATTGGTTAATGTGGGCCATGATTTCGACCAACAAACAAACGCCTCTCGGTCATCGGATGACCGGTCGGGCGTCCGATTTTCTAATCGTGTATTCCCACCTTAAGTCTGGCTGAAAAAAGACAAAAGTCCATCTAGTTCAGCCATTAAAAAAAAAAGTTATAATCCTTTACCCACAGTTGATCCAGAGGAAGGCAAAAAAACCCCAGCAAAGTATGATCCAATTTGCACCTGCTGGGAAAAAGAAAAGCACCTGCAGCGTACACTTAAAGTGCAGGGGCGGACTGACAGCTAATGGGGCCCCTGGGCAATAGGGGATCATGGGGCCCCTGTGTCCTTGCCCAAACTCAAAAAAGCCTATGAAAAAGGTACCAGGGGCATCTCATGGGGCCCCCTACTGACCCCGGGCCCTCGGGCAGTGCCTGAGTTTCCAAATGGTCAGTCCGCCCCTGTTAAAGTGCATAGAGTAAGGAAACCCCTGTGAGCATGCACAGGAGTTACATCAACAGTGGCTGCCCAGTGGCTGAAGATGATCACCACGGAACCTGAAAGAATTGGAAGAGGTGAATATTGAAGGCCTGGAACAAGGTGTCTTGGCCCGTCATCAATGGAGGACAGCACTGAAGGAGGTAGATGTGCATGCTGTGCATACTTGTAGATTATGGCAAAAGTTGCCCTCCCACCCCCCTAATCAACTAATTCATAAAAGGCTTCCAGGGCAGGGGCGTCCTTAGGGTTGGTGTCACCCAGTGCCGGAACACTTGGTGACACCCCCGCCGATGATCCCTGCAGGATGGATTGGATCTGATCCATCCTGCGGGGATTGTCGACTTGCTTTACAACTTGTCACCCCAGGTCCGGTGTCACCCCATATAGGTTGCATGCCGACGATCTCCGCGGGATGGATCGGATCTGCGTATTGAGTATAATGGATCAGAGTCCAATCCATTATCCTTCCCAATCCGCAGATCCGATCCATCCTGTGGGATCGTCGGCTTGCAACCTAAACGGGGTTAACTGATCTCTCCACGAAAAAGTAAGTTTTAAAGCAAGCCCACGATCCCCACAGGGTGGATCGGATCTGCGGATTGGGGAGCATAATGGATTAGACTCGGATCCATTATGCTCAATCCGCAGATCTGATCCATCCTGCGGGGATCGTCGGCTTGCAACCTATACGGGGTTAACTGATCTCTCCACAAAAAGGTAAGTTTTAAAGCAAGCCGACGATCCCCACAGGATGGACTGGATCTGCGGATTGAGCATAATGGATCCGAGTCCAATCCATTATACTCCCCAATCCGCAGATCCGATCCATCCTGTGGGGGATCATCGGCTTGCAACCTAAACGGGGTTAACTGATCTCTCCACAAAAAGGTAAGTTTTAAAGCAAGCCGACGATCCCCGCAGGTTGGATCAGATCTGCGGATTGGGAGGGATAATGGATCGGACTCGGATCCATTATGCTCAATCCGCAGATCTAATCCATCCTGCGAGATCATCAGCTTGCTTTAAAACTTACCTTTTCGTAGAGAGATCAGTTAACCCCGTTTAGGTTGCAAGCCGACGATCCCCACAGGATGGATCGGATCTGCGGATTGGGGAGTATAATGGATTGGACTCGGATCCATTATGCTCAATCCGCAGATCCAGTCCATCCTGTGGGGATCGTCGGCTTGCTTTAAAACTTACCTCTCTGTGGAGCGGGTCCGGTGTCACCCCATGCAATAGGTGTCACCCTGTGCGGCGCACACACCCCGCACCTGCCTAGGGATGCCCCTCTTCCAGGGTGTCTATCTTCAGGACTATCATTCAGGAAGTCAGCTGTGCGTTGGACATGGTTTCCCTCTCCAAACCAAGCTAAATAAAGCTAAAGTCCGAAGGTCCTACTGAAAGCAGTAATTTCCAGCTTGACATACATGATTTGTTGAGAGAGCCGTCTGTCATAAAGGGAACTCCGAACACAAAGACCATTTCATCACCGTGATCGGCCTTCACCCACTTTGGTCTACTCTTCTGAAAAAAGGACGGACGGTGCCGGAATTCATAGAAGAAGACGTTGGATCCGGAATCTGCCGAGGAACAAGAAATATGTTTTGTTTAAATCTCTGCTTTGGGGTCAAGGGTTTAAAAATACATAATATATACATACCTCCCAACCATCCCGGATTCTGTGGGACCATCCAAACTTTTCAACTACATCCCGGCATCCTGCAGATCTGAGCTAGAGTCCCGGCACCCGGCACTGTAGCTGGCAGGGGCACCCAGGGAACCTGCCCTGCATCTCCTTCCCTGGTACCCAGTGGCAGCAATCGACCATTCTATTACTCTGCCAGGCAGCTGGTGGGGAGAGATGCTGGCTGCCTCTCACAACAATACACATCAGAGCCAATGGAAGCTTCCTCTAGGCTTCTCTTCTGCTGGAACATGTATTATAACAGGAGGAGGAGCCTAAGAGGAGGGACGTCCCCTTGGAGGGAGCCGTACTAATCTGAGGTCTGAGGCTTGCACTGGGGGACACAATGACTTCGGGGGGTAGGGGTGAGGGCGCAGGTAACAAAAGATTGTACTGGAGGATTTAAGCTGGGAGGAGTTGTTGGGGGGGGGGGGGGGAGAGGAAACATGTTCTGAGGGGCAATTTTGAACAAAAGGTTTGTGTTAGAAGGTGAGGAGGGGGGAGCTGGGGGGGATTTGTGCTTGGAAGCGGGATTGGGGGGGAATGGAAATTTTGTGCTGGGAGGAAGGATTTGGGGTAAAGGGGGGGGGGGGGGGGTGAAGGAAACTGATGAGGATTTGTACTGGGGAGTATTCTCTGAATACATCAAATATCTGTGGATATGAACCTGTGTGAATGTATACCTAAACTACGTATCACTCTCTGTTATCTGTCCATAACTGTATTGATGAGATCCCTGCACTGAAACCCAGAACCCAATTTGAGGAGTTCCCATCATACCTGCATTGAGTTCCTAGCTCTGTACACCCACTCTGCCCATTATGAGGGGTTCCCACCATCCCTCTGCTGAGTTCCCGGGTCTGTACACCTGCTTTGCCCATTATGAGTGGTTCCCATCATCCCTGTGTTGATTTCCTGGGTCTGCACACCTCCCATGCCAATTATGGGGGGCTCCCATCTTCCTTGTGCATTGTTCCTGGATCTTCTGTACCCATAATACTCCAGCTTAGGCTTCCAGCTGTCAGTGATAAACACTCTGGTTGGTAAACAGCATGGAAAGTTGTTTCTTCTTTTAGAGCTCATTTACACTGGCTTCAACTTTAACACACATTAAAGTGCCTACCTCTTCAGCATGCTGTTTTGATGTGTTTTGATGCTTCTGTGATGCTTTGGTGATACTGTTTTTTTAAGCTTTAATGAAGCTTGCCAAATGCCCTGTGTGTGTGTTGATTTGTTTTAAAGGGGCCCAGTAGAACCCCAGCTCAGTAGTATCCCCACTTAACAGATCCCCAGCTCATTCGTACCCCTGTTCATCAGATCCCCAGCTCATTCGTACCCCTGTTCATCAGATTCCCAGTTCATTCGTACCCTAGTTCAGCAGATCCCCAGCTCATTCGTACCCTAGTTCAGCAGATCCCCAGCTCATTCGTACCCCTGTTCAGATCCCCAGCTCATTCTTACCCCTGTTCATCAGATCCCCAGCTCATTTGTACCCTAGTTCAGCATATCCCCAGCTTATTCGTACCCCTGTTCATCAGATCCCCAGCTCATTTGTACCCTAGTTTAGAAGATCCCCTGCTCAGTAGTACCCCAGGCTCTGCTGATCCCCCACTCAATAGTAACCCCCAGCTCTGCTGACCCTCTGGTTTGTTGATCCTTCTCTGTCTCTAGTCCCTTCTCACCTCCCACTACATTGCTCCCATGCTGCGCACCATGTGTGACATTGATAGTTTTTCCTGCTCCAGTCCCCCAGCTCTGCTGATCCTCTGCTGCTCACTCCTCTTTCTCTGGTCCCCCACACCATGCCTTCCATCTGCTAGTTGCTCCCATCTGGACCACACTCACCTTCTTGCTGCTCCTCACTGCACACCAGATGTGATGTCTGCACCAGATACTTCCAGAATATATACACATGATCTGAAAGTAGCTGCTGATGACGTCTTTCCGGTTCGCTTGTTGGTTTCCCAGGGCATCCTGGGATATCTCATACCTGCAATACTTCCAAAACAAAGTGAAGCTAAAGCTAAAAAAGCCTCTCAAAAGCTGCAGGTGCTGTTAGCGAGCTCTGTTATAAACTTCTATGGAGGCTTTGAAGACACTTTGAAGCACCAAGGAAGCAACGTGGGGTATAATTTTTGAAGCAAAGTAAATGCATGGTGCTTTGATTGGCATTCAGAGTGCTATAAAAACATGTCCAATGCCACATTTTGAAGCAGATGTAAACAAGCCCTTATTGAGGATCTGGGTGGACATTCCACTGCCAGCCATAGTGGAAATGAGACTCTGTGTGATGACATGGCCACCTGCAGAATGTGGACAGTTCCGACTCTTGTCAAGGACTCTGTTGCTGAGACAGCTAATCCATCACAGATCACTTAGGACAGGACAGAGAGCTCAGCTTTTTACCTGGTTCTGATCAACACACCTATGGCATGGTGAAGGAGAGTAGCTCCATAAAGGTCCCAATATTTTGAATTCTGTCATATGTGCCTGACTGTTAGAGGAATGGGAACGGGATGGCTGATTTTCTGAAACATCACTGGGTTGATGTTACATGGTCAGATTAAAACAGTGCTCAGCGGAGTTCTTCTATAACAATTGAAATGAGGTTCATGAAGAGGCATCTGGAGCTACACACCTCTGTGAAGTTTTGCTATCTTTAGTGACGGAATGACAAACATGACATCTCCTTGGAGTTCTAGAAGCTGATCTCGGTTTTCCTGAGGGTCGTCCGTGTTCCCAAAGTATTCATCCAACAATGTGTAATCCAGACTAGATATCTCGCCCTGCACACACAGCAAAGACCAAATCAGATTCAGGTTTGCAACTTCCACCCACCTTGGCTGCCAACTACATAACTAATACTCACTATACACATTACAATCTGACCCCACAAGGCGGGAGATCTACTAAAACTAGTACACACAAAATCTGGTGGAGCTGTGCATGGTAACCAATCAGATTCTAACTTCAGCTTGTTCAATTAATCTTTGAAAATAAAGCCTAGAAGCTGACTGGTTATGATGTGCAGCTGCACCAGATTCTGTGTGCACCAGTTTTAGTAAATCTCCCCCAATCTCTGTACAATATTTTAGATCTGTGAAGTTACTATTTATTCCGATCACAGTGCAGCTAGTCACCTCTTCAGCTCTAAAGAGTAACCCAACTGTTAGCACCAACACTTTCATCCAATCACCATAGAAAGACAGATGCTGATTATCCAAAAACAGGAGGTGGGGTGTGAAAGTTGTGGATCCTTTCCTATTCTAGTTACATCATCCCATGCTTATGCCCCATACACACGATAAGAAAATCATACAAAAAATTTCGCGGAACCACTGATCGAACAATTTTCTCTTCGTTGATGAGCAGGATGTTTTAACCGATAACGATATTGTGAACGAAAAAGTCCAGTTGAACAACAGTGAAAAAATGTTGTCGTTTTACATATGAACAACTGATTTTCTATGTGCTGGTATGACGATCGTACGAAAAAATTCTATCAAGCGCTGTCACACATGAGCGGAAACAGAAGATGACCCGGATGTTTATGTCTAAGGAATCTTCGTAAACACGAACGAAAAATCCAAAAGTTAAAAATAGACTGGCCTAATGAGATAATGAAACCAGAATTCTGCAGATTATATTTTATGTATCACTATTTATGTATATATGTAATGTAATAAACTATATTATACTCATTGCTAGTAATTGTTGTGTATATCCCTCGATCTGGCCGGAAGGGCGTGGCTACAAGGTCACACGCACACTGCGTCACTTCCACTTGTACGGAAGACGTCAACACTACTTATTGCCCGAGGAATGATTTTTTTAGGTTAATGTGAGCCACAAATTTGACCAACCAACGAACGTCTCTCGGTCGTTGGATGACCGATTGGTCGATTTTCTAATTGTGTATTCCCACCTTTAGTGTCAGAGAGTCTGCATGTGTTAATCTTTCAATTCACATGGCTGAAGATGTCAACTGTTGTCTAAATGTCAGAAGGGGGTAGATTTTAAAACCACATTACATATGGAAGATAGATGATGTACGTAGATCACAGGTTCTCAACCTTTTGGAGACCAGGACCCAATATATTCTTTAAAAACCTTCAATGCCAAACAGTAAAGAATACATTTTATACTCACACAATAAATCTATGGGAAAGCAAAAGAAGTAATGAAATGCATGAAGGCTCTGGATGGGGGAAGTTGTGGAGTGTCCCTAGGATGTAGGCAGAAACAATTGAGTACTGTCCATGATACTTTTTTTAATTGCACTAACATACAATTTTGAGGACAAGCTTTCGGGGTATGTCCCCTTCTTCAAGGTCCAAGCAGTACTAAGGATGTAGGAAAACTGCCAAGCTCTGACCTGTAGGATTTGCCCTCCTATGCTGGGACATTCATCTGTGGAGAGGTTGTTTCATCTCCCCAATGGACATGTCTTAGCATTCCTCACTACACTGCACCGAATATACCAAGTGACTTCTATTGTGTTTTGGTGTTGGGTGTTTAGGATGTCCAAGCTTCTGTATAGCAGGGTTTGAAGGACACAGGAATGAGATCAGTGTTAAAGGTCCTTCTTAGTTTTCCAGACACTCAAAATGACTTTATTGTTTTGTGTGTTCTGCTTTTCCCCTTTGTTTTATGACCTTCTGTTTTTGCCTGATGTTGTGGATATTTTAAAGCAGAACTTCAGTTTTTTTTATCTTTCTATTGGCCCAGAGTCCAAAAAAAAGAAAAAAAAAATATTGGAAATAGTCCAACTTTTTGGTCCAGTGCCAGAGGGTTAGGGATGTAATTCTGGTACTTCACTTTATTGGAAGTCCAGTCTGAAGAGCTACAAACCACCAAACACCCCCGAGATGTGGATGTTCTTTGTTTTTAGACTCGGATCCTATTGTTACCATCTCAGCCTGATGTTGCAGAGTTCTAAAGACCCCCAGTTTGTATTTCCAGAAGGTGGTGAAAGTCAAAAGGCAGATACTAGTCTGTGTGGATATTAATATTGGCGTATGTCCCTGACACTCATTAGAACTGAAGAAGTGGCTTGGTAAGTTACAAAACGTCTTCGTAAGCTACAAAACGATATTACAGAACAAGTCCAGTTGAATGTTACCAACTACTACCAACCAATTTTCTTTAGATTTACCAAAATTAGATAATACGTGGACCTTCCTGAATGATCCAATCCATTTTTTTTTTATATTGTTTCTTTAAGTTTTTATAAAAAATACACCATATGGTGTAGAAATACAAACAGAATTTAGCAGTAAGTCCACAGAGGGAGCACCCTTTCCAAATGGCACTAAAAGAAAAGGCAAAGACAAATAACTCCAACCCATTTTTTATACACTTAGTCTTGCCCTTTTAGCATTACGGTCCTGGTTCCTGGTAAACTACATTCCTTACACTTACCTTTGGGGTGGATGCCCTCAAATCATGGCCACTTTGTGGGTTGGTCCTGCTCAGACCCCCCCTCTAAATATGCTGGAATTGGTCACTTATGGCCCTGATCGCCACACTCAAATCCTTTTTGTTACTGTGCCTGTGCAAACAAAAAGGGCCTAGATGCAAGACTGTCCTTGGACATTTGTCATCTATGTTGTTGCCAGATCTAAAGTAGATTGTACAGTCAGATTGTAATGCGTGGTGAGCATTTTCCTGTGACAATGTATCTTTGAGGCATTTTATGGGCTTTGTGTTAGGGGCTGGGGAGATTTGCATTAAAACATAATTCCACACAAAACAAATGTGGATTCTGATGAGCTTGGTATATCCTATATAGACTACAGTGGGACGATTTTCTGCCAATAGTCAATAGCCCTGCCCCTCCTTATCACCTTGGGTTTCTTACAGCCCAAACACTGTGGAGGCACAAGGATCTGTCTATGTTTATCTGGTGGGGAAAATCATTCAGCACTCAGTTAACATCTAAAAGAGTCCAAAGTCTCAGAATCCTTACCAGAATTGGAGAACGTCTCAGCTCTGATTGGATCGATTCCTTTGGCAGCCCGTCCAAGTAAGCAAAACCCAGACTCTGTTCATAAACACATAGATTACCAAATATACTCTTCACCCCAAGAAGTCTTTTCTGCTCCTCTCTAGTCACCCCACTAACTGACTCTCTCATAAAGAGCAAACTTCAAAATTCTGAATCCTACTGACAATGCCTTTCATAAGGTTCCACCATCTTGTTTCTTACTTCCAGACCAGGGGCGGACTGACAACTCATGGGGCCCCCAGGTAATAGGGGATCATGGGGCCCCTGTGTCCTTGCCCAAACTCAAAAAGCCTATGAAAAAAGGTACCAGGGGCATCTCATGGGGGCCCCTACTGACCACGGGCCCTCGGGCAGTGCCCGAGTTTCCAAATGGTCAGTCCGCCCCTGTTCCAGACACTTGCGTGCTTCAGTATACCAACAACCTGACAACCTTCCTCATAAATACCTCTCACATCTCATAGACTCTCAGGAAATATAGTCTGTGCTGCACCCATTCTGCAGAACTCACCGCCTTCCACTATTATCTCCAGGATGTATGCTGTTCTGCGCCTATTCTATGGAACTCAGCACCTATCGCTTTCTGCACCTAGAATACCCCTAGGAGCAGAGGGGTGAGAGCAATGGATGGGGGGATGTTAGGTGCAGGGGGTGCAGAGCTGCCAGGTGCAGAAGGGTGAAAGCCATGGATGGGGGGGGGGGTTAGGTGAAGGGGGGTTAGAGCTTTGCATGGGGGGTATTCTAGGTGCAGAGGGGTGAGAGCCATTGATAGGGGAATGCTAGGTGCAGAAGCTTGAGAGCGGATGATTGGGGGTATTCTAGATGCAAAGGGGTGAGAGCCATGGGTGGGTATATTCTAGGTGCAGAAGGGTGAGAGCCACGGATGGGGGATGCTAGGTGCAGAGGGTTGAGATCCATGTATGGAGTGGATGTTAGGTGCAGAGGGGTGAGAGCCATGTATGGGGGCTATTCTAGGTGCAGAGGGGTGAAAGCCATGGATGGGGGTATTCTAAGTGCAGAAGGGTGAGAGCCATGGATGTTGGATGCTAGGTGCAGAGGGGTGAGAGCCATGCATAGGGGAGATGCTAGATGCAGAGGGGTGAGAGCCATGGATGGGGGGTATTCTAGGTGCAGAGGGATGAAAGCCATGGATAGGGGGGTATTCTAGGTGCATAGGGGTGAGAGCCATGGATGGGGGGATGCTACATGCAGCTGGGTGTGAGCTGTGGATAGTGGGGGGACTAGGTGCCAAGGCAGGAGGATGGAGCTGGAGTGCCAAGCTTAGAACTGAGGATTAAGCTGGGGTGCAAAGGTGAAAGCTGTAGATGGGGGTGAACTGTGAATAGGGACTGCAGAAGTGAAATGTTGACGTGGGCAGAGACAAGATGTGGAGTGGGGGTGATGGGGTGAGGTATAGACCGGAGACGCAAAGGTAAGCTGTGGATGGAAATTCAGAGGTGAGATGTGGATGGAGGGGGTACAGAGGTGACAGAGGTAGGCTGTGGAAGAGGGGTGCAGAGGTGACAGAGGTGGGCTGTGGAAGAGGGGTACAGAGGTGACAGAGGTGGGCTCTGTGGAAGAGGGGTGCAGAGGTGGGCTGTGGAAGAGGGGTGCAGAGGTGACAGAGGTGGGCTCTGTGGAAGAGGGATGCAGAGCTGACAGAGATGGGCTCTGTGGAAGAGGGATGCAGAGGTGACAGAGGTGGGCTGTGGAAGAGGGGTACAGAGGTGACAGAGGTGGGCTGTGGAAGAGGGGTGCAGAGGTGACAGAGGTGGGCTGTGGAAGAAGGGTTCAGAGGTGAACAGAAGATGGATACTCTTTGGGGTGTTGCTTAAGGAAGGAGGCATTTAATATTAATGTCCCCTGGACTGTACCCAGGACTGTTTTTAGTACTCTGTGCTGCACATGACATACTTTTATTCACTTCACTCTGCACACTGGGATGTATATTACATACTCTGCCCACTTCAGTCTTATGTAAGGTTATACATTATATAATCCTCACCACTCCGTATGTTCGATTGCATACAATCAGGTGTTTTCCAAAGTACACCACAGTATACAGAGTCCCGCAGTCAAAAGTATGTAATATACAGCAGCACAGCTTACAGAGTGCAATGGTCAGAAGTAAATCACACATGACCTAATGTAAAGAGAGAAGGGGTGAGGATTGTATATTGATTATATAATGTAAATCACAATAGTGTGCATTGTCTTTTGAAATTACATTAGCAGTTCATTGTGTATAGTTTTTTACTGCACCCCCAGGTCAGACAGGCTAGATAGGGACCTGCTTGAGAACCTCTTCAACTAATACTAACCAAATTCGAGATTGTGGATCAGATAAATATTTTCAGACTTGGTCCTCCGACTTAGCCTCGGTTCACACTGATGGGACTTATCATGCTACTTGATGCCACTTGTGACACATAAAGTAACATGACAAGTCAAACATCTTCATTTTAATGGATGCTGTCTTAATCAATTGAGTCACAGCAACCTTAAAAAAAAAATTTCTGTACTACTTTTCTGCGTCTTTGGTGTGGCTTTAGTGCCATCGCCAGCAATGATAAAATCACAGAAGTCGCAAGGATTGTCTTAATCCATGGGACTTTGATGTGACAGTATCAGACTTCAGAGGGTTTCTAACCAAAGCTAGTCACAAAGAAAGTTGCAGTGAAGTCATAAGCAAGTCACACCGGAAGTCACACAACTTTCAAGTGGCAGCAGCGTGAACCGAGCCTTAGAGGTCACACAGTGAATGGAGGGTGGAAGCAAGAACTGGATGAAGACTACAATATTTTATTATATAGCCAATAGAAGTAGGTTGTTCTCTGCTGGCTCACCTAATTTTTTTAATTTTAATTTTTTTTTTTATATTTTTTCCTACCTGTAAGGCTATCCAGGCAAATTCCTGCTCTGTCACACCAATGATCATTGGCACTTTGTTGTTTTCTTTGGCAGCCAATATCTCTTCTGCTGGTTTAGGAAGGAAAATTCCATCTACACAGATTGGTAAGGGCAAGAAATTCTGCAAAGGGGCAACAAAAGTGAACATGGAGAACCTGTCACGTAAAAAGTTAACCTCAGTAGTACACCCCGCTCAATTACCAAGCAGATCATAAATGTAGTTGTAATACAAAAGGCGGAGAATTTTTGGGGAACAGAACATACCGAGTTGGACATAATAGAAGAGATCTCTTGCTCAGACTTCATCCGTAGACAGTTCACCAGAGAGGATGGCTCACATCCTGATATATTAGCTACCATCTGCAAAGGAAACCCAGAGATTAGGAGGAATCATTCCAATTCTGTCCTCCATCTTTTTTATATTACTGCTGCCATTTTGACCTAGTGCCCTGCAAAAACTTAACCAGTACCCAGTAAATTCTGAGCAGGACCAAGCCAACCATGAGGTCTGGGATTAGGTTGGTACATGTACTGTACATTTGGGCAGTCCACCTAGAAATGATATTTAATTTTAGGCGGAGCCTGATAGAATGAGTCCCATTCAAACATAGGATCAATTCAAACCTAGCTTGTCCAGTTTAATGGACCATTTTCGAGCCTTAATGCATGAGAAACATGCCTGCATTATTTTTAAACCAACACAAGCGCACTACAATTGGCAGGGCATTGACATGTGTGTGCTGGGTGTGCTGATGGGCAGTTGTGTTTCTTTACACTGTACGTGTGCAACACAAAATGGAAATGACTTACATCTCTGTAAAAAATCAGCTGCTTTGGTGAGTTGGCTGTGTAACCTGGTATTATGGCCACTCCACTCTGTGCGATGGCGCGATGAAACAAACCCTGGGCAAGTGGAGAGAGGACCTGAAATCACATGGAAGGATGTTCATTTCAAATCATCGCTTTGTGGCTGTCTTTACTCTACTACCACAGTCACCCTGGAAGAGCTGCAAGACCAAAGAAGACTTACCCACATGGAAGAGAAATATATTTCTAATATATTTTGAAATAAAATTATATATGTGACTTATATTTACAATATATTAGCCTACGCTAATATATTTTAACATGTATTTTAAAAAAAAATTAAATTTAAATATATTTTCTAAAGACATACAGTGGGGCAAAAAAAGTATTTATTCACCACCAATTGTGCAAGTTCTCCTACTTAAAAAGATGAGAGAGGCCTGTAATTGGCATCATACGTAGACCTCAACTATGAGAGACAAAATGAGAAAAAAAATCCAGACAATCACATTGGCTGATTTGGAAAGAATTTATTTGCAAATTATGGTGGAAAATAAGTATTTGGTCAATATCAAAAGTTCATCTCAATACTTTGTTATATATATCCTTTGTTGGCAATGACAGAGGTCAAATGTTTCCTGTAAGTCTTCACAAGGTTGGCACACACTGTTGCTGGTATGTTGGCCCATCCTCCATGCAGATCTCCTCTAGAGCAGTGATGTTTTGGGGCTGTCGCTGGGCAACACGGACTTTCAACTCCCTCCAAAGGTTTTCTATGGGGTTGAGATCTGGAGCCTGGCTAGGCCACTCCAGGACCTTGAAATGCTTCTTACGAAGCCACTCCTTCGTTGCCCGGACGGTATGTTTGGGATCATTGTCATGTTGGAAGACCCAGCCACATTTCATCTTCAATGCCCTTGCTGATGGAAGGAGGTTTGCACTCAAAATCTCACGATACATGGCCCCATTCATTCTCTCCTGTACATGGATCAGTCGTCCTGGTCCCTTTGCGGAGAAACAGCCCCAAAGCATGATGTTGCCACCCCCATGCTTCACAGTAGGTATGGTGTTCTTTGAATGCAACTCAGCATTCTCTCTGACCATATGACATTCTCCCAATCCTCTTCTGGATCATCCAAATGCTCTCTAGGAAACTTCAGACGAGCCCGGACATGTACTGGCTTAAGCAGGGGGACACGTCTGGCACTGCAGAATCTGAGCCCTAGCGGCATAGTGTGTTACTGATGGTAGCCTTTGTTACGTTGGTCCCAGCTCTCTGCAGGTCATTCACTATATCCCCCCGTGTGGTCCTGGGATTTTTGCTCACCGTTCTTGTGATCATTTTGACCCCACAGGGTGAGATCTTGCGTGGAGCCCCAGATCGAGGGAGATTATCAGTGGTCTTGTATGTCTTCCATTTTCTAATTATTGCTCCCACAGTTGATTTGTTCACACCAAGCTGCTTGCCTATTGCAGATTCAGTCTTCCCAGCCTGGTGCAGGTCTACAATTTGGTTCTGGTGTCCTTTGACAGCTCTTTGGTCTTCACCATAGTGGAGTTTGGAGTGTGACTGTTTGAGGTTGTGGGCAGGTGTCTTTTATACTGATAACAAGTTTAAACAGGTACCATTGATACAGGTAATGAGTGCAGGACAGAGGAGCCTCTTAAAGAAGAAGGTACAGGTCTGTGAGAGCCAGAATTCTTGCTTTTTTGTAGGTAACCAAATAC